CAAGATGATCACATGCAATATGAAGCTTATTATGCAATATGAAGCTTATTATGCAAAATGAAGCTTATTATGCAAAATAACCTGGATGAAAACACTACCCCGTACCCCGGGGAGGTCCTTGTAACCCAAACCCTTTTGCCCAAGGAGATATATATTCCGTTAGAAAACCCTTGTCTTGTTCAAAAACCATGCAATGCATTTAAATGCCGATTCCAAAATTCTCTCAAAGTCAAATCTTTGGGTTGCCAAAATAATAGCACCCAAATATCCACAATTTACCATGAAGACTTGGTATTACCTCATCAATGACCAAATCTCATTCCCCAGATTAATAGGCCAAATGTGATTTGCAGATTGATCCCAAGGTCAGAGATTCTGACACTCTCTATAATCCGTGTCTGGGGCTCATATAAATTAGACAGTCTGATCAACTGATATATTTCTTTTTAAAAAATGGACCGCCATTCAAACATCATTTGATTGCAAAACCTCCTCCAATTTTAACAATGCCCATCCAATTTTTTTGACATGACAGTCATTGATCACCTTGGTCCATAAGCTAACAAACCTGTACAAGTCTATCCAATTGAAATTTTTTGAAACCTGTTAAACCATGAGTTCATAGCAAGATGAGGATCATTCCCATGTACAACCCCACATGTCCATTTTACATTTCATGATAATTCACGTATGAATGCATCCAGCCAGTTGTACATATACATTTTCCCCTCTGTTTCAGTTGCTTGAAAAGTTTATAAAGCTTGCACTATTATTTGCCCTAACCCATTTTTTCACTATCTTTTTTAATGTCTCATAGTTTTGATATTATTTAAAGTTCTTGGTCTTTTTAAAATTGTCCAATGTATTGATCTTAGTTGATTTTGTAAACCCAACAAGTCACATGTTGAACCAGTTGCTTTAAATATGATTTATCAGCAATCTGATTCAGGGAAGGTCGGTTGTCAATGGATTTCAGACCCGAGGACGCTTGACACCCCCGCAAGGCCCATTTTTATCCAGTTTGCAGACGCTCAGCAAAGACAGAATTTTCCCAGATTAGGCCAACAGCGTTCATCCAAGAATCCACATGTGATGGCCCAATTCACAAGAGGTCGCCATATCAAACAAAGCCAGATAAAATCCCTGGCCCTACCCAATAACCGCAAACAAGATTGTATACATTCACTTCAGCCCTTCACTTCTAGGGGGCTCTTGCTGTTGACTTCTGAAGAAAGTGGCTGTAATATGTACTGTTTATAAGCCTGACGTTGGCAAAGCACTTGCAATTAGCTTCTAGATCAATGATATGCACTGTTTCCAACATTGATGTTGCCCTTAGAATCCACATGAGAATGCAAGCAACCTGAATTCAGGC